ACCTCTCCTTGAGTCTCTGAGGTGGTATCTCTACGGAAGCAGATTGCTCAGTCTTCCTTTCAAGGTGTGGGTGGTAGGTTTGAACCACCAGCCTTCTGGTTAGCTGTCAAGTGCCTCAGGCGCTACGTCACCAGAGCTCCTACATATGTACATACACACACATATATATGTGTGTGGATATGTGTGTGTGTGTATATATACACATATATAACCATCAGATGACTTAGTAATTATTTTCTTGGGTACTTACAGAAATGAAAACTAATTTCCATGCAATATCTTATTCATAATGTTCACAGCAGGTTTATTTCTAATAGCCAAAAACTGAAAAATACTCAAATGTCCTTCAGTGAGTGAATGATTAAACAAAATGTGATATATCTATATCGTGAAATACTATATAACAATTAAAAAGGAATGAATTATTGATATATACAACAACTTGGATGAACCTTAAGGAAATTATAATGAGTGAAAAAAGTCTATCTAAAAAGGATACCTACTGACTGATTCCATTTACCTAACATTCATAAAATAACATAAATAGAGACGGAGAACAGAGTATGGTTCCCAGGGGTTAAGGATGGGGGGGGACTGGATCTGGTTAGAAAGGGATAGAATGAAGGAGCCTAATGGTTATGGTGATGGTGACAAAAAGGTATATGTGATAAAACTGCATAGAGCTACACACACACACACACACACACAAATGATTACATCTATAACTGGTGAAATATAAGTAATTTCTCTGGATTGTATCTATACCAACATTCTGGTTTTGATACTGTACTATAGTTACGTAAGACATTAGCACTAAGGAAGTAAAGGCAGAGGGTACATGGGACTTCCCAGTAGCACAGTGCCTAAGGCATATGACTGGTAACCAGAAGGCTGGCAGTTCAAACCCACCAGCCACTCCTCAGAAGGAAGATTGGGCAATCTTTTTCTGTAGAGATACTGCCTCAGAAACCCAGGGAGTGGTTGCTATGAGTCAATCAATTCGATGGCAGTGAGTTTCGTTTTTTTGGTTTTGGTGAATCTATAATTATGTCAAAATAAAAAATTAAGAAAATCACTAGACTTCTACAATATATTAATAAAATCAAACATTTTCAAAATGGTTTTTTGATTACTCATAATCAGTAGTAGATAAGTTTATATTATTGGAAATTAACTTTATGTATTGATAACATCATTTCATACAATAATGCTAAAAATAAAGAGAGCAGAGCCACATAAAAAATGCTTTCATATTGTCCAAAGCAAAAATATTATGGCTTTTAATTTTCAATTTGACATGTGAAATGATTTGAAGAAAATTAGCTTAATGGAACAGATCCATTATTTGTCCCCATTCCAAAGAAAGGTGATCCAACAAAATGAGAAAATAAACAATATCACAATAATTAAAAAATGGGTGCAGCAGTACATACACAGGGAACTGCCAGAAATTCAAGCCAGATTCAGAAAAGATGCAGCATGAGGGATAGCACTGCTGACGTCAGATGGATCTTGGGTGAGCAAATACCAGAAAAGTATCAGTACCTGTGTTTTACTGACTATGCAAAGACATTCTGTGTGGATCACAACAAATTATGGATAACATTGCAAACAACAGGAATTCAAGAACACTTAACTGTCCTCATGAGGAATCTGTAGATAGACCAAACAGCTGTCGTTTGAACAGAACAAGGGGATACTGCATAGTTTAAAATAAGGAAGGGTTTACTTCAGGATTATATCCTTTCACCGTACTTAATCAATCTGTATGCTGAGCAAAATCTGAGAAGTGTACTATACATAGAAGAATGTGGAATCAGGTTTGGAGGAAGATTCATTAACAACCTCCCATATGCAGATGACACATCTCTGCTTTCTGAAAAGTGAAGAGGACCTGAAGCACTTACTGATGAAGATCAAAGACTGCAGCCTTCAGTAGATTACACCTAAACATAAAGAAAACTAAACTCCTCACCACTGGACCGATAAGCAACATCATGACAAATGGAGAAAAGGTTGAAGTTGTCAAGGACTCCATTTTATTTGGATCCATGATCAATACCCATAGAAGCAGCGGTCAAGAAATCAAACAACATACTGAACTGGGCAAATGTACTGCAAAAGACCTCTTCAGAGTATTCATGAGCAAAGGTGTCACTTTGAAGACTAAGGTGCATCTGACCAAAGCCATGATATTTTCAATTGCCTTATAGGCATGTGAAACCTGGATAATGAATAAAAAAGACTGCAGAAGAACTGTTGCATTTGAACTGTGGTGCTGGCGAAGCATAATAAATATACTACAGCCTGCCAGAAGAACAGTCAAATCTGTCTTGGATGAAGTACAGCCAGAATGCTCCTTAGAAGCAAAGGTGGTGAGACTTTGCCTCTCATTCTTTGGTCATGTTGTCAGAAGAGACCCAGTTCCTAGAAAAGGGTATCATGCTTGGTAAAGGAAAGGTAAGCAAAAAAAAGAAGACACTCAATGTGATGGACTGATACAGTGGCTGCAACAACGGGCTTAAGCACAGCAGTGATTGTGAGGTTGGTGAGGACCAGGCAGAGTTTTGTTCTGTTTTATGTAGAGTCGCTATGAATCAGAACAGACTCAATGGCACCTAACAAGGAAAAGATCAACGGCAACGGAACAACCAGAATGAAAACAATGAGAAAGTTCACAGATTGTGAAGAATATAACCAATTTTAATCAACAACTTGTACAGAAATTGTTGAATGGGAACTTAAACTGCTCTGTAAACCTTCACTGAAAACACAATAAAATGGTATTTTTTTCCAAAAATATTTCAAAACAAAGAGAGTAAGAGCTGTACTATGAAGATAGACTCTCTTACATCATTCAAATCAAACAAAACTGTTTCTATATAAGTTGACAAGAGGTACTGTTTTGCTTCAAAATAATACATCATGAAATAACCTCATAAAAATTCATAATTCATAAATACTTCACAAAAATTGACTTTATATATAAAGTACATACCATTTTAGAACAAGGTATACTGCAAAATGAATCATCCATTTCCCTGGGAAAATGATGGTATCAAGTAAGATGACTTTAAATCAAAATTAAACTAAAAAAAGAGCAGCTGGTTCTAAACTGATATTAACGTAAATCAATAATTTTACCTGATTTCCAACTTTGCCACTTCAGGTAGCTCTCCAAATTTTATCTCTTCTACTGCTAATTCTTTAAGAGCAGTCAGAATTTTTTGCTGATCTCTACTGGAAATTCCATTCTACACAGAAAAATTTTAAAGTACATTAAGAAAGTTATACTTGAATAATTTAATATTCAGAATTACTAAAAAAAATTCTATTTGATTACATCTGGAAAAAATGGATACATTTGGAAAAATGAGAAACACAAACATTAAAAATTATGCCTTGCCTTTAATTGTGATGGACAAAGTTAGTGACATCATAAAATATTTAGATACATGGTGACTTTTGTCTATTATATGCGATAAATACTAATTATGATGGACTATAAAAGCTGTTAGATTTTAATATACAAATCTGTCAAAATCCCACAGTAAAATAATTTTTCTTTCAAAACATTATTTAAAATACTATCTGTGATAAATGAGAAGGAAATCTTTTTTTGTCTTTACTCTGAGTATTAAACCAAAATTTCTATTCTATATTTAGCAAATACAGTTATTCTGACTTTTAGTGATACTGAAGATTTCAGTTTCCAATGTGTTCATGAAGCAAGATCATTACTTTTTAGGTATTCTATTTATTTAAGTATCTCTAATCCTTTCCACAGCTACTTCTGAATTGGTATTTAATATTAGGTAGCAGAAGGATAGGTTTTCATACTTTTGGGGAACCTAGCAAAAGGAACACACATGTTCATACCCACATACATAAACACCTCTTTTCCAAGTTACCAGCTGTTTTAAAAATCTATTTCACATTTAGAAATGAAGCAGCAGTTTTAGTTGAGATGTCATGACAATCTAAATAAAGATAAAAATAAAAATTCAAGTCTGAGTCCTTAAATGTTCTTAAAGTAACTTAATATTGTAACAGAAGGATTGAGATACGGTAATCAATAATCAAGAACCTAGTAAAAGGTTAATCACAGTCTTTGGCTCTATGATTTTTGAAACAGAAAATAAATGGATCCACAATTAAAACAGCATGAAAGAATATGTCTGAGTTTCTGAAAGAGATACTAACCTTTAAAAATTCATCTTTTCTCATGGTCAAAAGGTGTCTTAAAGATATATCCTTTTCCTGTACAAAAGTAAAAAAATACCACCTTTCAACATGGCATAGTATGTAAGGCATATGACTGCTAACCCACCAGCCATTCCTCAGAAGGAAGATTGGGCAATCTACTTCTGTAGAGATACTGCCTTGGAAACCCAAGGAGGGGTCGCTATGAGTTGAATCAACTTGACAGCAGTGAGTTTGGTTTGAACATAAATAAAGTAGTAAAAGGGCAAGTAGGTCCAGATACATGAGTCAATTATAAGCTCCACTCTCAACTTCCAGCTCTCTAGAGGGATTAGGACATGCAAATATACACTATACTATTGGATAATTAGTAATGAATGTCATAAGACCTATATTCACATAAAAATCTATAAATATAGCTAGTTTTCCAGATTTAAAGACAATAATTACAATTTAAATTTTTTTACCTAACAAGAAAAGTAGGTGGATAAAATTTGACAGAAATTATTTCATGAATATTATATATTTATAACTGTATCAAGTCAAACCATCAATAACGTTAATTTTACTCAATATTTCTGAAACAGGAAGAAGTTTCAAGAGTGTAATGCATCTTCATTTGAAAATACAGAATGCACACACTCCTGAGGAGAGCCTGTCTTAAGTCAATGGTACTTTAGTGCTTCAGTATCCCAATCTAACAGATAATAATGATCATAATGCATGCTTACAGACAATGCTTGGGATATGATCCAATTAAATCTTCTTGACAACTGCACACTAAATGTTATCATTCTTCGATGGCGGTGGGGGGAGATGTTAAAGTAACATTTCATTTAATAATCATTGGAACCAGAATCTGATTTTGCCTGGTTTAAAATCAGGTTTCTTCTAATAATCTCTACAGAAAGATCAGCAACTCGAAAAACAAACTATTGGCTTAGACATATATGCAGGAATTCTATGAATTATTCGGCAGTAGGTCAAACTGTTTAAAACCCATTGCTGTAGAGTTGATTCTGACTCATACTGACCCTACAGGACAGAAGAGAACGGTCCCATAGGGTTTCCAAGACTGTAATCTTTACAGAAGCAACTGCCACATCTTTCTGTCACAGAGCAGGTGCTGGGTTCAAACGGCAGACCTTTTATTTAGCAGTTGAGTACTTAACCACTGCACCACCAGGACTCCTAAAACTGTTTAATCCAACCATGTTCTAAATATTTGCAAATTTTGAAAACAAATTTAGAAGTGCTTATTACACTTTTAAAATGGAGTGTAATATAAATGACAGAGGAGCATGCAACTGGCATTCATTCATAGGCATGCTTATGAATGAAATCTATTACACTAACAAACAAATGAACATACTAACTGTAAGTTATTATAAGGAATCTTACCTTCAATAAATCTGTCATATGTTCAAGTCCAAGACCGTATAAAAATACTTCCAGATCTCCAAGTGCCGCATATGAGCTATGAATATTTACAGCAATATCAACTTGAGAACAGAACAACATACATCTACATATATAGATACACTTCTTTTTCAGAAAGAGAACAGGAATGAGTAAGAATCAATCCACGCATAATACATTTGCATATTTACATACAAGACCTATGCTTTATCAAAGGAATAAGCAAGGATTTGAGTGAAGATAAAAGAGAGAAAATGGGAATGATAAAATGTAGCTTTATTCTCTTCTAAGAATGATAGTTTGCCAGTATGTATTCCTTGTGAGGTACCTGCACACAAAAATGTTTTTAACTGCAGTAAGTGAAAATTAAGTAACAATTTTAAATGTAGGCAAGTATAGAATAGTTTTGTGGCCATGGAGTGCACAACTGTGCTCAGGGAAAGAAATTTAATTTTAGCTCATAAAACCAGAAGTATGCTAAAGAGAATGAGAGAGCAAAATATGATACAATTTGAACATTAACATAAATACAGTCTAGAACCTTTTAGAAATAAATTTCATTGTTAATATATTTTATTTAAAGTTAAGTTACCATACAAAGTCTAAAGTTACTCTCCTCAGTGTAAGTACATGTAAATATAACTATTCTAACATTTTGGAGAACAAAGCACTTCAAATCCTGACACTTCTAAATAATATTAAAAAACATTTGTGAAAGTTTTAAAAATATGATACATCATCTCACAAATAAAATCACACACAAATTTTACCCATGTGCAGATACACATTTAAATTAAAAAATGTCACGTTACCTAAACATACGATCCTTTTCTTTATCAGAATCTGTTGTCAAGAGTTTACAGATAGTCTCCTCTTTAGTTAGTTGTTGAAGCTTTCCTTCCAATGGATTTAATGTCAAAGAAAGTAGACTGGAGATCTGAAAAAGTTAATAAGCCATTCAAATAATTTGCATTATTATGAACTGTGCTGAAAGTAATTAAAAAAGGTTGCAGCAGTATATCAACAGGGAACTGTCCAGAAATTCAAGACAGATTCAGTAGGAGACATGGAATGAGAGATATCATTGCTGATGTCAGATAGTCTTTGGCTAAAAGCAGAGAGTATTAGAAAGATGTTTTTCTGTGTTGACTATGCAAAGGCATCCAACTGTGTAGATCATAACAAATCATGGATAACATTTCAAAGAACGGGAATTCTAGAACACTTAAATTATGCTCATGTGGACCCTAGATATAGACCAATAGGCATTCATTCAAACACAGTACGGAGATGCCACATAGTTTAAAATCCAGAAAGGTGGGCATCAGGGTTGTATCCTTTCACCACACTTACTCAATCTGTATGCTGAATAAATAACCCAAAAAGCTGGACTACATGAAGAAGAATGCAGCATCAGGACTGGAGGAAGACTCATGAACAACATGTGATATGTAGACGACACAACCTTGCTCGTTTAAAGTGAAGAAGACTTGAAGCACTTACTGATGAAGATCAACAGAAGATGTCAAGGATCTTATTTCACTTGGATCCACAATCAACACCCATGGAAACAGCTGTCAAGAAATCAAACACCATATTGCATTGGGCAAATCTGCTGCAAAAAGACCTCTTTTTAAGACAAATAACCCAATTCACAAATGGGTAAAAGACTTGGAACAGACACTTCACCAAAGAAGGCAGCCAACAAACACAGAGAAATTGCTCACGATCCTTAATCATTAGAGAGATGCAAATCAAAACAACAATGAGATATCATCTCACCCCAGCAATAATAATAAAGTTCAACAAGTCAGAAAGTAACAAATGCTGGTAAAGTTGTGGAGAGATTAGAACTCTTATACACTGCTGGTGGGATTGTAAAATAGTACAACCACTGTGGCAAACGGTATGGCATTTCCTTAAAAAACTGAAAATAGAAGCACCATTTGACCCAGCAATTCCATTACTAGGAATATATCCTAAAGAGGTGAAAGAGAACGCATGAACAGACATATGTACACCTATGTTCATCGCAGCAAAATTCACCATAGCAAAGAGATGGAAACCACCTAAATGCCCATCAATGGATAAGTGGATAACCAAATTATGGTATATCCACACAATGGAATACTATGCCACATTAAAGAACAATGAGGGATACGGGAATCATCTCACAACATGGATGTACCTGGAGGACATTATGCTGAATGAAATAAGTCAAACGCAGAAGGACAAGTACTGTATGAGCCCATTACTGTAAAAAGACAGAGAACAGTTTGCTTGAGAAAAGGAACTCACCTAGTAGATTACCAGGATGGGGAGGGAAGGAGAGGGATTAATTTTGGGCTAGCTGGGGCCTACACACAGACATGGGTAGGGGTAGGGATATACAGGAGGATATATGACCACCATAATAACATTAGGAAATGGGAGGACACCAAATTGTGCACGTAAGAGATAGAGGATAGATGTTAATACCAACCAATGTGTCCACAATATCGCATTGCCATTAACACCAAACACTAGGCTATACAGATAAACACATAAACATCTGAGATGATGAGACGCGGGTCAGTAAAAAAAAAGTACACTCTAGACCAAGGATAGATTCAGCTGAGGTTAATCTTGCATAGACACTAGTGATGCAAAATACCTGCAGTCCTTACAGAAACAATAGAAGACAGACACAGAGTAATCTCTCACATACAACCAGACACTATGGGAGAGACATCCAATAGATCTACTGTCTCAGGACCATAGTACTGGGGGACACCAGATTCAATTGGCACAACAAAATACATAAAAGCATTGCTCCACATCCTACATTGCTGAGTAGCGACTGCGGTCTTAAAAGCTTTCAAGTGGCCATCTAAGATGTAGCTAACGGTCTCCTAGTGTCGGAAGTGAAGAAGAATGCAAAAAAAAAAAGGGGGGGGGGCATTTAGAAGCAATCAGCCCTAGGACACGATGGTCCTCGAGACCAGAAGAACTAGTTGGTGCCTGGCTACCAATGCCAACCACTCAGGAAAGGATCAAATCTGGAGATCCTGGA